AAGGCAGGGCTGGGCTCTCCAACATTGGCAACTCTGGGAGTTCTCAAAGTCCACAAATCTTAAGGTTGCCAAAGTTGGAGAGCCCTGTTCCAAAGGGCACCTGCAACCCGAGACTGAAGGAGCTGGAGTTGTGGCTATGCCGGCCGTCCCGTCCCCCCCACCCCATTCGGCTCCCTTTCCCCCAGCTGCCCCCTCCTGCCATCGGGCTCGGTGCCTGCAATCGCCACAAGTGGGAATTATCCGCACTGCCAGCGGATCCCGGGTTTCCTCCGTGCTGCATTCTGAGGGACTCAGCAAGGGAGTGCCAGGACCCTGGCTGCGCTGCGCTCTCCCCCAAGGCAGCCGTGGCTGGACCGCTGCCCGGCCCGGTGAGCAGAGAGCAAAGGGGTGGCATCTCCGGCCGGCCCATCACCAGCTCTCTGCTTGGAGGACCCGCTGCCAGCTTTAGGAATGGTGCTGAGCCGAGCTGCCCTGGGAGGAGCGGCTGCGAACTGGTGCTGTGCTCTTGGCCTCCGACTGAGGGAGTCAGCCCTCTCCATGGGGAAACCCACAGCAACACGCGGGGAGAGGCAACCTGGTGTGAGGCAGCGACCCCGAGGCTGGACTCAAAGCTTGCCAGCCTTTTGGGGGAAGTGGAGCTCCGGTTCCTGGCTGCGGCTGCTGGTTGGGGGGCTCGGGCCCTGAGCAATGGCAGCTCCTGGCCTCACTGGCATGGGGCAGAGGGAGCGCGGGGGAGTTTGCAAGGGCCGCTCAGAGGGACCTTTGGGGAGGTTTCAGCAGCTGGAGATTGAATGAAAAAATCTGGAGAAGCTAATAAACTAAACACTTGAACTGATACAGAATTTTCAGGCGGCAGCATGGGCTGGGACCAGCCGCCACCTGAATTGCAATGCACTTATCCCGCGGCTTGTATAAACTGCTCCCACCCCTTTCAAAATAGCCACCCAGCGCTTCCCTTGGGTGCTCAACTGGAGAAGGCGGGTGGGCCTGGCTGGCAGCAACCACAGCCTCCTCGCGTGTTCCCCACACCCCCTTCTGACTGGGGGAGCAGCATGGACAAAAGGCCTCTGCTGGGATGGGTGAATGGGCTGCTGGCAAGTTGGCAGGCAGGGCCGAGAGTGCTGCTGCCGGCTTGGGAACAGCTGTCTCGCCAGGGTAACTGGTTGTCCTTCGGTAATTGGTGCGCCAGCCCTCTTGGAAAAAGTGGGGGCGCATGCATGGCGGGTGCACACATGCGCAGTGGGGATTGCATGTGCGCATGTGCAGTGTGGTGCATGCGAATTAGGAGTCATGTGCACATGCGCAAATGGGGGCACCCATTGCATTATGGGTGCTGGCACGCAAGAGCGCGCGGGGGCTCGTGCGCTCAGACTTTTGGCACGCAACGCCAAAAAGGTTTGCCATCACTGATATATACACTCAAAAAAAGAGAGCAAAATAACTTATTTGATTGACTGGTTGTTCTCACCAGGAGGATAGCAATAGCAATAGCACTTAGACTTATATACTCCTTTACAGTGCTTTCCAGCCCTCTCTAAGCAGTTTACAGAGTCAGCATATTGCCCCCAACAATTTGGGTCCTTGTTTTATCCACCTTGGAAAGATGGAAGGCTGAGTCAACCTTGAATGAAGAATGGGGGGTTGTTGCTTGTATATATTAGATATAGACATAGACATAGACATAGACAGATATAGAGGGATGTGGTGGCTCAGTGGCTAAGATGCTGAGCTTGTCAATCGAAAGGTCGGCAGTTCAGTGTTTCAAATCCCTAGTGCCGTATAACAGGGTGAGCTCCCGTTACTTGTCCCAACTTCTGCCAAGCTAGCAGTTCGAAAGCACATAAAAAATGCAAGTAGAAAAATAGGGACCACCTTTGGTGGGAAGGTAACAGTGTTCCGTGCACCTTTGCTGTTTAGTCATGCCAGCCACATGACCACAGAGATGTCTTTGGACAGCGCTGGCTCTTCGGCTTTGAAACAGAGATGAGCACTGCCCCCTAGAGCGGGAATGACTAGCATGTATGTGCGAGGGGAACCTTTACCCTTACCTTTTTATAGATAGATATAGATAGATATAGTTTTTATCTTTGAAAGCCACCTGGATTCACTGTAAGTGGATTGGGTGGCCCTATAAATTTTCTTAAATAGAATAAAATAATAAAATAAACAAAACAACAGCCCTCTCATTATTACACAGTGTCCCTGACACATCCCCTATGCAGAGATACAGGAGAAACTAGTCTCTGCATATTATAAAAATGTTGTGCTTATAATTTGGTATGTGCTAACATTCCAATGGCAGCTAAGCCATTGTGGTGGGTATGGAATCTGTTGGAGCTTGTCCACCAGAAAAAAAAAAATCTTTTTGTCATGGATGCCCAATAGATTGAACACAGCATTTAATTCCTAAATGTTCTTATTGTTGTGGCTCCGTTACCTGAGCCTGTGTCATCGGCAGAAGAGGACTCCGAGAGTGAAGGAGAGGAGTTGGCAAGGCCTCCCTCTCCAGGACCCTCCTGTCTGGCAATGCCTTTGGTGTCCGCCAAAGGGCAAGAGATAGGGCCAGGGCCAAGCACGTCCACGCAGCCACAGGTGGACAGTGATGAGGGTAATGAGTCTTGGCTGGATCCCCGGCAGCGTCGCAGAGATAAGCGTGCACAACAGAAGAAAAGGCGTGCCAGAGATTAGGCTGAGTCACTGGACCACACCCCACAGGATATAAATGGGGGTGAGGTGGCCATTCAGACTCTGTGATGGACAAAACTAACTACTATCGAGTCACATTGCATCTTTGGAAACAACATTATCGGCCTTGGATTTATTTTACGAACTGGACAATTCTTGACTATGGGTATTTTGTTTATTGAGTAAAAGTTCTTGGCAAGGGTTGCTGCCAAGCGTCTTATCGGAAGAATTGGTTGTCTGCCAGTTTATTTAACCCCCGGCTGTCTGTTTGTGTGCGTGTGTGGGATGGGGACAGAACACTTATGTGTTCAGATCTGTGTGTTATGCAAGAAGCAACAGAACACTGTCCTTGTTTCTACACTGGTACATAAGGAAGTCCTGTGTTGGTTCTAATTCAGTAAATAAATATATATCACACTGTCCACATGAAGAGCATATCAAACCAATCTGTGCCAAATGACCCTTCCCCTCCCCCACTGCTTTCATAATGTTGCTTTTATGGTGAATCAGTGAACAAGGAGTTCAGGCAGTTACTACTTAACTAGGACAGTTTTTTCGCTAACTATTGTATCTTTCCTAGAATGCTTCTCAGTTGCCTCTTTAAGTGGCAACCCAAATTATTTAGAAAAAAAAATGAATTTGGCAAATAGATTAACTTATTTATTTCAAATATTCAGTTTCCCTTCTTATCAATACCAATATGGTTTCAACCAATTATGCATCAGTTTGTGACTTATGTTGGGTTTGTTTTTAATATAAGTAGAAACTTGTGGATTTTGATATGAATTTTTCCCTAATATTTATTTTGGGATGCATTTTTTCCTGATGTATACATTTTTAGAGGCAATCTCCCTTAATACAACTTTTTTCTGTGTAATGTTTTTCATCAGTATGAGTGTGTGTGTGTGTATCCTAACATGCATGTTTGTGCATTGCAAATATAGGTTTGGAAGCATGCCTGGGCTTTGGTTCTGCCTTAGTTAACAATATGTACTGGTAAAAAGTCATGTGAAACTTCAAGCTAAACTTCTTTATCCCCATCTCTAGAAAAGTTAAAAAGATTTTTTTAAAAATACTATGCAAATAAGCACAATGGAGACCTTTAGAGAGGCACCAAGAATATGATATTTTGTAAGGAAAAACAATGTTATTGGGGGGGGAAAGCAATATTGCTTCCCCCCCCCCAAATAACATATTACAATTGCTTGACAATATTACAATTATATATAACTCTAATTTTATTCCAGCCTTAAAGAGATTCCCAGCACTAACCTATTGTCCATGTTTTCACAATTGTTGTGCATCCGTGTCCATGGGGACTAGGCAGTAGGAACTCCTATATTTATGATGGACTATTGCCTTCATATGCTGCATAGATTATATTTCATATCTTTCCTTGGCTAACTTTTGAAAGTTGTGGACTAATTTGCAGTCAGCAATATGACACCAATGGGCTCCAAAGTCCTATAATAGCTGTTTTTTGCCAATCCCGCAAATTAAATACAATTTATATTAACGTGCTTAACTTAAAATAACTAAGTTCAGCTGCTCTCAAGAGAGTTGGGGAGAGCAGATCAATACTGTCATAATGGGTTAGGGAGAGGAGCTGTCAGATATGAGATGTCCATATTTTTCCACTTTTAGTTGAAAAAAAACAACCCCTGTGCCAAAATGCAACCTTATGCAAGAATGCCTGACACTTGAAAAAATTGCTATCTTCAGAGCAGAGTGTACAGTGTGTCGACTCCAAAAGTTTCATTTCTTTCTCCTAAAATACAGTTTCACAAAATACGTTTACAGATTGCAAATGTGTTGCTATGTGTTTCATTGTCACGGTAAACATTTTCTCAGTGGGAGATTCATATTCTCCTCACTGTGAAATAATCCTTGCGGAAATTACCGTAGGAAGTCAATTCCAATGTAACCTCCTGATGTGCACTTGCATATCACAAGATTAATTCAAAACATGACTTGTCAACTAAGAAACCTTATGTCAGATGTATTGCTTGCTGCCAGGACAAACAGGAAGATTGATTGATTGATTGATTGATTGATTGATTGATTGATTGATTGATTGATATAATTTATATAACCACCCATTTTCCCCTAAGGTGACTCTGGGCGTCGCATAAGTTGACTTCCTGAAAAAGAAAAAGCAAGAGCTGTATCTCTCTTCATGGAAATTATTGAGGAGACATTTGAAATCAAGTGCCTTTTCTGCTGATTACTGCAGAAATCACTGCAGAAATGTTATTCACCATAATAGTGTTCAAACATAATTTTCTTTATTGATCTGCATTGCTTTTCTTTTACAGAGTGATGAGGTTTTGACTGTCATCAAAGCAAAAGCACAGTGGCCTGCCTGGCAACCACTAAATGTGTAAGTAGGGAAGGGAGACAACCTCCCAAAATACTTTTTGATCATTGTCCTGTGACTGATTGCTGTAAACATCATGCCATCCACAAAAGTTTCTCTCTTTCTCAGATAAAAATGTGTTGATAAATGAACCTTCCAATCCATAACTCTGTCTAACAATATTTGTGGGAGACCAAGTTATGGGAGGGTACTGGGTTAGGTGTTAGTAAAGCAGTAATAAATCTAGATATATATTTCCCATTGTCTTGATCTTTTCTTGAGGACAAAGGATATCTCTAATAGTTAATATGGTTCCTGCTTGCTTACAAGTAACCCAAATTTAATTTGATGGAAAATGAAAAATTAAGCTAGTTTGAATCAGGACTGCCTTGGAAACTCCAGTTATGAGTAAAAATAGACTCCATTGGAAGAGAATAGATGTAGTTCAGAGTTGAACTGTGAGGTCCTTGATGCTCTCTGAGCTTGGCTGTTTGTTTCCAGATGTTTCATTTTCTAACAAGATTGCATCATCAGTGCGAGTGAGGGTGTAGTTGCCCCCATCTTGACCTGGTAGGAGTGTGGTTTTCTCTTTAGTAGTTTCTGGATTAGGAGTGTTCTCATCTTTTTTGTTTCCTTCTAATTCAAAACTGGAAATTCCTGGAAGCTTGGAATTTAGATGAATCAGCCATCAACAGACACATAGAAATAAACTATATTTACACACCATTGAAAAGAGACAATAAAAAAGCTAAGAAGGAAACGCACTACCTGCAAGCAAACAACCAAGGTCAGAGAGCATCAAGGACTCCACCAAAATAGGAGTCTCCCATTCCTTAAAAAGCTACAGTTCCTTATATTAATGTATAACATGGCACATTCCATTTAAGAAAGGCAAGCAGGTTGTTAAAATATGACAATTTCTTATAACAACAAAAGAACAATATTACTCTTTCCTCATAACTTCAAAGAACTATTGCCCTAGACTCAATTGAATTCATTACTGGCTGCATCTTTCAAGGTTCTTATTTGTTCTCTATGTTTTATGTCTGCTCCATCACTTCTGGAGCTTTAGAACCTTATAAATTGAAGCTCCCTCCAGGAGAACCCGAGATCCATAATTTAGGATTGGTAACTTAAATGAGAGCACCAATTAAAACATTTCAGTCACTTGTCTTATTTTGGAACTCTATGTTTTTCTCTAAAAAATTTCTTTTAAATAAAAATAATAATATGCAAACTTTCTAGAGTATTTGTCTATATAGGATACACCAAGATTTTATTTGAGGATTTCCAATAAATTTATCTCTAGCCTAGAATGTCTGCTTGGTTGAAACTTTTTGCACTGCCTTTTTATCTGCTACTTTTATCATAATGTGTATTGCTTTATACTATGCCACAGATTTTCCTTTCCTCTCTCTAGAGTTGCTTGACTGAGTCTTTTGTTCAAACTTCTTTTCAAAATAGGCATTTATAACATATTTTTGTCAACACTTTCAACATTTCAAGGCAATGTGTGATTTGGTCAAGCATACAGTGTATGTTCTTTGGCATTTCATGCTCTCTCGTGGTTTTGCTTATGCTGCACAGCACTTTTTTGTAAATTGTTCTGTCCATACCGTGCCTGTGTGGAAATTGTCTTTTTCAAGGGTGTCATTCCTACAGCTTTGTAAAATAGGATTTGAAAACTCATTCACATTTTTTACGTTCACTTTCTCTGACCTTATTTACCAGGTTGTTTCATCAGTGAATCTTTAAAAACAATACATATGTACTCCTCAAAAAACATTATGCACTTCAATACAATTAATAATAATTAAGCAAGTTAATTTGTTGCTTCTCAAATGCCCATGATGTTTGTAGAAGTGTTGTTAAATTATATTTCATCTAATTGAAGACAATAAAAGATCCAATATTCAGTTATTCAACTTTCAGACTACTGTCAAGGCACATCTGTATACTGTTTTTTAAGAACTGGATTTGCTTATAAAAATTTCAGTTCCCTGGAGTTTTCATTTGCAACTAATTTCATAACCACAGTTGTATATCCAAAACGGGCTCAATCTGCTCGAACAAAACTTGCTTTCTGGTTTTGCCCCTGGAGTATCATAGCAAAATTTGAATAAACTCTTATCAAGTCATTTGTTCACAGTAATACACAAGTGACTATAGACACAGATGGGATTGTAAATGGGAGAAAACTGTAAATGTGCCCTGCTAGCAGCTGCTGATATCTTTCTAGAAATATCCATTCAGGACAATTGTTTCCCAGGACTTTGTGAGAATGAACCCCCCCCCACTCCACCTTCCCACCCACCCACCCACCCCAAAAAAAGTCTGAAAGAGCAGAATCTCCAAAATAAGGAGTGGTGGTGCTTATTGGTTCACCCTTGTCAAGATATTTTTATAAAATATTTCTGTGCTCTTTTCTTAAATAGTCATTGGTTTGATCTTCGTGTAATACATCATGCTTGTATACATTCTGCTAAAGGTCTGTTTAAAGTGTGAGGGAAAGCCATAAGAGCAGGTATTCCATGAAGGCTTGGGAATGCCCTCAGAGAACTCTTAATGTGAAAAGAAGAGGGAGTTGACAAATTCAGAATAGGATAGTAATTTTCTCCATATAATAATGAAGCTTCAGTCATTTTTTCTAGCCCCATTTCTATATCATTTGAGTCAGTGGTGGGTTGCCCCTGGTTCAGACCGGTTCGCAAGAACCGGTAGTAAAACCGGCAGGAGGCCCCACCCACTGCCCCAGATGTCATCATTGGCGATCTGCGCATGCGCGATCCCATTGCGAACCGGTAGTAAAGGTAAGTAGAACCAACCCCTGATTTGAGTGCAATTTGACACTCAAAGATCTCCCAAGGCCTCAAAGATAGGCCTTGAAAGTCGCTTGCTGCTGCTTCATGACAGGGCATGGAGTTACACATTTATCATCCTCTTTTTAGATGCAACGCCATCTCTCTCTCCACACTAGGTCCATTCGAGGCAGCCCTGCTTACCAGGCATTTTGCACAATAGAGTCGTCACTGTTTGCTCCCTTGTAAGGATGCAGTTGGTTTAATTGAGGTCATGATGTGCTGATATAATAGTCACCATGACCTGGGGCCGTTAAAGAACTGCCAAGTGCGGAAGAAGCTTCAGAAACAAAAGAGAAACAGCATGTTTCTTTTTTGCCCTGCTTTTTAGAAGCAGGATGACCATGTCATTTTGTGACTCAACTTTAAAAAATTGCTTTGCTTCAAAGCCTCATTGAAATAAAACGTCCCTTCACAATGTTGCATGTTGTAAGCATTTATGCCCCAAGTGCAATAGATCAACCTACCTGTTGAAATCTAGGTTCTACAGACTTGAAATCAGTCAGGGTAATATATTTCAGCAGATGATGTCTCAATATTTAAGAAAAGGAATTTTTATAAACTGGTGCTATTTTTCTATTTAAGTTCTCCATTTTCCCTTAGTTAATTAAACTATGATTTATCAATGATTACAATATTGCCTCGGGATAAAACAAAATTAGCACATTATTATGCATAATGTAGCAGCCTAGTTGTGACAAGGATAATTTTCTAATTCTATTGACTAATGATGGTGGATAAATTCCTAGACATAATCTCCTAACGTGCACCAGGAAACTGATTTGCTAAAACTATATTGCATAAAACATAAATGTGTGTGTGTGTGCATGTGTATGTGTGTCTGTGTATCTGTGTGTACACATAGTAGTTATCCTGAGATTGTGATACATGTAATATTTTCATCTTCAGTTATAACCCCCAGTCATCATGAAATTAGATCATAGTTGTTATAAAAGTTTTATACCCTAATCTTTTAGTTTTAAGGATACCACTATAAGGAAAAAGGAAATATTATTTCAACTTCAAATAATAATTATTCTAGTTGTTATTTTTGAAATTTCAATATTTACTGAAAATGAAAATACGACATTGGTGCCTGAAATGGTTGTGTTTTATTTGTTGTTTAAAAAATTAAGCTTTGACTGTTATTAGACTTGTCATCCAACTGACAAAACTGTTAATCCTGCCATTCCTAATCATTTTTTTTTCTCTTCAAATTGTGGTAAAGTTACAATCCTATTAGCAATTAATCTGCTAAGGAGGAGCACAAATGATTTTACTTTTTCCACGCAAGCTGTTCTGAAATGACAAAATACATCATGCACGCCTCTCATAATTATATGCTAGTACAGGTAGGCAGTCATGCACACATAGAGATCCTAGCATATATGTGCACATAATATGGCACAATTCTGCATGCCACACTTGAACACAACTGCAGAAGTTGTGAATGCTCCAACACTGGAAATTTTTAAGAAGATATTGGATAACCATTTGTCTGAAGTGGTGTAGGGTTTCCTGCCTGGGCAGGGGGTTGGACTAGAAGACCTCCAAGGTCCCTTCCAACTCTGTTATTCTATTCTATTCTATAATAAAACATTTAGAGTTCTCTATGAGCAGTTTTCCCATAGTAGATGAAAGTGACTTCCCTCGAACTTTCAGGTTTGCTTTAGGCAAAACTGATGACGACTTTTTTTTGTACATAAAATAAGCACATTTGCACATTAATAGTGTCTGGCATTCTGACCAACCATGAGTGGAAAGTGAAAATCGAGACAGAATTTTGAATTATAATGCATAATGCAACCTTTTTCTTTTGGGGAGAAAAAGAAAATGTATCATTATATTTGGAAAAGGGCCTTTATTTCCACATAATAAACATTAAAGTCAAGATTTAAATCACTTAATTAAAATAACATTTAAAATGTTTAATTAAACACACACTTGTTCACGCCAAATCTGTTTTACTTTGATGATACCCATCCAGTTCTTCTTCTGTATGATCAAGAAGAAAAACAACAACAAAATTCGTTATTTTCTGATGTTTTTACAATTGTTACATATTTTCTGATCTTGGTTTTTTTAGCTTGTTAATTGGGGGCGGGAGCAGAAATTTATAAATATGGTTTTGATAGTCAAAATTAAATTGGTGAAAATTGTCCCATC